GCAGGGTCCCAAGGCCTTAGGCCATCCTCTACTGCTTTCCCAGGCCACTACAGAGTGCTAGAAGGGAAGTGGAAGTGGAGCAGCCAGGATATAAGCTTATGCCCATATGGGATCCCAGTGCACACAAGCCAAGGACTTTAACCTCTAAGTTGCCATGCCAGGTCCAAAGGCCTTTGCCTTAGTGTGTGTATTTATACTGGGAAGACTGGGAAAAGGCAGAGGTATAGCACAGTGTGTCTACCGGTGGCTTCAACAGTAAGTCACAGGAGGCATCCTGGCTTGTCAGATCCCGAAATATCAATGTCAAGGTCTTTTCCCTTGGTCAGTGTTTGCAGAGACAGAGCAGAAAATAAACTGCCCCAGGTTTGAAAAGGCATAGATGTGCCCCCAAGGGCATGGGTGTTGAAGGTCTGGTTCCTAGGGCAGTACTGGGCTGGTTTTTGTTTGTGTATTTTGTTTTGCTTTTTGAAAGACAGAGATACACAGAGACAGATGGACAGAGAAAGAGTTCTACCATCCCTGATTCCCTCCCCAGTTGGCAGCAATGGCCAAAGCTGGGCCAAATCCAAGCCAGAAACCAAGAGCTTCTTCTGGGGTTTCCCACATGGGTACAGGGACCCAAACAAGTGGCTGCTTTCCCAGGCACACTAGCAGGGAGCTGGATCAGAAGTGTAGCAGCTGATACACACAAGGGACATGACCGTTCATTGAGGCCTGCAGAGGACATCTAGGATCATGGCAGAGGATGGAGGGCTGACCAAATTGGACAACTCTCCCAACCAAGCTTTGACAGCAAGCATCTGAGCAAGTGAGACTCTAAGGTGGACTATGTCAGCCAATGGACCTTGGAAGATTTCCAACCTTTGCGCAAAAAATCAACAGCATCTCAGAACTTTGAAACAACTTGGACAGTACCCTTGGAACATGTTCCCCACTGGGGACCACACGAAGACAGGGAGTGGCCATCCCCCAATCCCAGGTACTGATGCAGTTAGACTGCTGGAAGCAGCCTTCTCCCTTCTCTCCTCCCTTCCTCCAGATACAGGAAGAAAACACAATTGGAAATCAGGGTCTCATCCACTTTCCCCCATTCCTTGACCCTTCCCATTCTAACCAGTGATCCATACGGGCAGACATCCTTCACAACTAAATAAACACCATCAAAAATAAATTTATTTTTTAAAAAAAGGTGGAGTAGCCAGGACTTAAACCAGTGGGGCTGCCAGCACTTTAGGCTGTAGCTTTTACTCACACTGCAACACTGACCCCTGCTACAGAATCTGCAAGAAGGCAGAGTCTAGTAGATGCTTGGGTCATGCCATGGATGGCGGTGGGGAGCCAGGCTCTGTGCTGATTCATCAGAATTTTGAATCTCCAGAACTGAGAGTTAAACAGACCCCTCTGCTCTATACAGTCAGCCTGTGCCTGGGATTCTGTGAGAGAAACTAGTAGGGGAGCTGCTGTTCTCATTCTGGGAGCAGGGGTTTCAATGTGCGGTGCAGACTGGTCACCTTAAAGCTGGCTTTCTCTAGATCAGCTGCTCCCCTGTTTCTCACCATGTTTCTCCTGCCAGGGTGGAGACACAGCAGACATGTGAGTGAGCACATAGGGAAATGAACAGTATGATCATTCTTCAAACGTCCAACAAAATCCCGGTTTCTAGCCTGAGTCATTTCATTCCACCTCCCAAGGCTTCCCCACATCTCCAATTACTGAGCTGTGTGGAACTGTAAAGAGTGAAGCTGCCCCCTCATCAGTATGTCCCGCTGCAGGCCTAAACAGCTCAACCCCTTCTCTCTGCTGAAGCATTACTCACCTATCTGTTTTCTGACTTCGGAAACCATGCTGATATTTTTACTATCTCCTATCTCTTCTCCTGTCCTCTTTGTCCTTGAGGATTTGTCCCATTGTCTTATGTGTTCTTACTTTGTTTTTAAAGATTTATTTTTATTTATTTATTTTTTTATTAGAAAGGTGGATATACAGAGAAGAGAGACAGAGAGGAAGATCTTCCGTCCGATGATTCACTCCCCAAGTGAGCGCAACGGCCGATGCTATGCCGATCTGAAGCCAGGAGACTCTTTCGGGTCTCCCACGTGGGTGCAGGGTCCCAAAGCTTTGGGCCGTCCTCGACTGCTTTCCTGGGCCACAGGCAGGGAGCTGGAAGGGAAGCGGGGCTGCCGGGATAGAACCGGTGCCCATATGGGATCCCGGGTGTGCAAGGCGAGGACCTTAACCACTTGCGCTATCGCGCCGGACCCCATGTATTCTTACTTTATTGATGTCTAAGAAGAGGCAGCTGTTCGGTGAGTGCTTGGGACAATGCAGGGTCTGGAGTCCCAGCTCCACTTTGGATCTAGCTTCTTGTTAATGAGCCCCCTGGAAAGGCAGCAGATGATGGCTCCAGCATGTGAGTCCCTGCCACCCATCAGAGAAATCTGAATAGAGTTTCAGGCTCCTGGCTCTAACGGAGTCCACACTGGATGTTGCAGGCATTTGGAAGTGAACCAGGAAATGAAAGATCTCTCCCTGTCTCTCTGCCTTCCAAATAAAATGAAAATTTAAACATTGAAGTCTAAAGAGGAAATGACAAAAAGCCCACAGATCTACTGCTTTTAATCATCTTGAGCTTCCTCTTCTTACTCCCCACTGACTCCGCATTTGCAATCACTGCCAAGAGCTGAGTTCACAAAACAAAGAAATACACATTCAAGGTTAAAGAAGCTACATATCTCCACAAGCACTGAGCATATATAGGACATGGATTACAAAGGCTAAGAGTAGGGGCCAGCATGGTGGCACAGTTAGTTAAACCAATGCTTAACAACGATGGCATCCCACACCAGAGTGTCAGTTCAAGTCCTGGCTGCTCTACTTCTGATCCAGCTCCCTGTTAACGGTCTGGGAAAAGCAGTGGAAGATGGCCCACATCCTTGAGACCCTGTCACCCAAGTGGGAGACCCTGATAAAGCTCCTGATTCATGGCGTTTGCCTGGCCTAGCCCTGACCACTGCAGCCATCTGGGAGTGAATCAGCCAATGGAAAATCTCCCTTCCTCTGTCTCCCCCTCTCTCTGCCACCTTGTCTTTCAAATAAATAAACCTTTCAAATAAATAAAGAAAAAGTGATAAATTTGGAAATTCACAGGATGGATACAATAGCCACATTAGTTGATCTCCACCACAGTTGTTACCTAAAATACTAAACTTCTCTAAACTAGAATTTAGAGGCTTAGAGTCCATTTTTAGTGAATTTTCCCAACACTTAAGATATATAATTAAGTTGGGAAATAACTGAGCAAGAACATGCTCCAAAAGGACCCTGACCTATTTTTAAAAGTCCAGGACCCAAAGCAGTAGCCTAGCAGCTGAAGTCCTTGCCTTATACACACTGGGATCCCATATGGGCACCAGTTCTAATACCAGCAGCCCCATTTCCCATCCATCTTCCTGCTTGTGGCGTGGGAAAACAATTGAGAACAGCCCAAAGCCTGGGGACCCTACACGTGCATGGGAGACCCAGAGGAGCTTCCTAGCTCCTGGCTTTGGATCGGTGCAGCTCTGGCCATTGTGGTCACTTGGTGAGTGCATCAACAGAGGGAAAGTCTTGCTCTCTGTCTCTCCTCCTCTCTGTATATCTGACTTTCCAATTAAGAAAGAAAAAAAAGAAAGAAAGAAAGAAAACTTGAACAGTTGGGGGACCCTGATGTAGAAGTAGCAAACCCAGTGTTGCTGACAACATAAAGAATCCACCCTTCAAACACTAAGAGTGATTCCCTGGGCTTAGAACTTTCTGGAGCCTTGTTTGTTGGCTGCATTCACTGACCGAGTAGCAGAAACAGAGACAGAAATGAATGCAGGTGAGGAAGCTCCCACCTGCTAGCTCACTCCTCCAACACCAACAAAGCTCTGGGAGCACTAGGAGCTTAAAGGCTAGGAGCCTGGAGATCAGCTCAAGCCTCCCGGGTGCATGGCAGGAGCGCCGTCCCTGCGGCCATCGCTGGGGCCTCCCAGGTGCATGCTTGCAGGAAGCTGGAGTCAGGAGTGGAACCAGCATCAAACCCACTCTACACAGGACACAAACACCTCAACCACCAGGCCATGCGCATGCTCCTGCTTGACTTTTTTTTTTAATTACTATTATTACAATAATTATTTTTATTTTTTGAGGATTTTTACATAATTGATTAGGGTGATAAGGGTCAAGGTCTACAGGAAGCTGGGTGAAGCCATACCCTGGGATGGAGAACAGACATCCAACACCACCCCAGAGTCCCTGCTGTGGGTCATACTCTGAGGGTCCTGCCCAAGAGGTTGTGATAGTTCAACAGTTCTGAATTACTGCTGATCTCACCACTCCAAGCACAATGAAATCTCTCCAGAATCCACCGGCTATAACTCTCAAGTACAGAAATGTCTTCTGCTATCATTACATTTTTCCAACGCTGAAAAGTGTCCTTTTAAAAAAATTCAGAGCCTGGTATTATAGCCTAGTGGCAAAGAGTCCTCGCCTCGCATGTGCTGGCATCCCATATGGGCACCAGTTCATATCCTGGTTGCCCTACTTCCCATCCAGCTCCCTGCTTGTGGCAGGGAAAAGCAGTCAAGGACGACGCAAAGCCTTGGGACCCTGCACCCTTGTGGGAGACCCAGAAGAAGTTCCTAGCTCCTGGCTTCAAATTGGCTCAGCTCTAACCATTGTGACTGACTATTTGAGGAGTGAGCCAGTGGATGGAAGATCTTTCATTTTGTATCTCCTTCTCTCTGTAAAGCTACCTTTCCAATAAAAATAAATCAATCTTTTCAAAATTTTAATGAGCCATTTTTAGAACAGTTTTGAGTTGACAATAAAACTGAGCAGACAGTACAGGGGCAGTTCTAAGAAGCCTCTCATTTAAATGTCAGTAATGACTGCTCCTGGTAGCCCTGCTGGCATGCTAATGTGAGCCGGGCATCCTTCCACACTGACAGGGCACCCACCGCCCAGCTGCCCGCACATACCGTTCCTGTACAGCTTTGGAGTACGCCCCAGCATTCAGCACCTTTCTGATCCAGTCACAGATGTGAGAGCTCTCTCCTGGGCACCGTGGGAGTCCAAAGACACCTAGAACAGTTAGAGACAGAAATCCATTCCTTTGAGAAATCATACACTGAGGACCTACCGTACGGAAGGCACTGGGAGTCCACCCCTGATTTCCTGCAGTTTTTCATCCAGGAAAATAAAGCACTGAGAATAGATGTTACTGCAAGCTTCCTCCTGGCGCTGCCGCCAGGTCTGCACAACTGCTCTTTCCTGGGCATGTGCTTCCTCCACATTAAGTTGGACTTAGTCTCAGCTCTCAGGGCACATCAGGGGAGGCCCATCTGACCACTCACACCAAGCGGTGCCTGGCCCCAGGCCCTCCCCCTCCTCCCCTTTCTTTCATCCTCTTTCAAGCAGCCTTGTGGCTAACACTGTTGGAAGTGTCAAGCACAGTTCTAAGGTCGGCCCTTGCTATCCGCACGGGAGTGGGCCCAAGATCTCCTGTGAATACACAGTCTGCAGTGATGTTCAACTCCCTTATGTAAAGCAGGGGCTAATATTTGCATGACACCTACACACAACCTCCTGTCTACTTTAAGTCACCACTAGATTACCTGTAATACCTAAGACCGTTTAAATGACATGTAAATAGCTATGCCACTGCATTTTTCAGGAATAATGACAAGGAAAAATATCTGTATATTTCAGGACAGTCGTAATTTGCTCTTTGAATATCTTCAAGCCATGGTTGGTTAAATTCACGATGTGGGAAGGAAGGAAGGCTACAGAAGGCTGTTTGCCCCACATCACAGGGAGAGAACTTTAACACAGACAGGCTAAATACTTCATCAAGGCTAGGCTGGAAGGGTGTGAGCCAGGATCTGAATGCATGCGCTTTGGCTCTGCAGCCTGCTTAAGAACTACAGTCACTGTCCTCACTCCCTGAATATCTGCAGGGTGACGATCAGGGGTGGGGAATGTGCACTCCACAGGCCAGACAGCGCCTACACAGTCACTTGGTCTGGGTCTGCCACTGGAACTGCAGGTGGGACCTGAAATTCAAAACTACTGATCATTATCTCTAGAAGGCTAAGTTTTAAGTTGATGATTTTGTACAGCCTGTTACAAATACGCAAATAGCCATTGATGGGGGCAGGTGGAGTTTCCCACTTCTGGAATCAAAAAAAAGTTCCACCAATTTGTGTTTTTATTTGCCACCTATCCCTTCACTTCACCCTCTGGAAAAACCCCCAGGAGATGAGCAAGGAAATACTTTAGTTCCCTTATCTGTGAAAGGGATGTAAGATTCCCCATGACTTCCCAGTGACTCACAGGTTGCCCCTGGCTCTGGATTTCCTGATTGCAAACAGAATCCTCTACGGCTGCATTCCACCAGCTGGGAAATACCCCTGCACCTGACAGAGGTAAAATTCTGTCCCCCAACTCCAGCCTCTTCCCAAAGTAGGCAATTCTGTCCAAACAGGAACCCTGCTGTTTTTCAAAGGGTTTCACAACTCCTGTCACTTTTAGTGTCAACAAAAGCTTCCACACTATTCCCTGTGTGAGCCTGAGTTCAACAGGACGCCACTGACACTAAACAACAGGAAAGTCTGCTAAACACCTCCAGCACACCTGCCACACAGTTTCAGACAGCCACAAGAACCATGACCATGACCTGAAAGATGAGTGGGTGGCCTACGTTACAGGTCTCTGGAATCCTAAGTTTCCTCGATTTGCTCATCCTGCTGTGTTCAACGAAATGGGTTTTGCAAGGATGGCTGATTTTCTATGAGAGTGGGGCTGCTGGCTTTTGGGTTTTTAAACAAGTTGTCCTGTGGGTTTCAAAGAAGAGGTACAAGGGTCAACATTACCTTGATGTTGTCCACCAACAGAGATGAGATTGTTCATGTGAGGTGATGGGCATCTCTGTGCCACTGCTCTCCTGGGAGAGGGAAGGGGGTTATGAGCTCTGGCTGACATGCAGAAATAAGCAACATCAACCACCTGCTCCACAGAAGTGACGCAAAGCCAATGAGCCTCATGCGTCTCCTCTCATTCAGGCAAATACAAATCTCCATTCCTTTGTACAAAATAAATTACTAAAGTTTATAAACCATCTTTTAAAAAAAATATTTATTTATTCTTATTAGAAAGGTAGATTTAGGGCCTGGCGCGATGGCGCAGTGGTTAAGGTCCTCGCCTTGCACGTGCCAGGATCCCATATGGGTGCCTGTTCTAATTCCGGCAGCCCCACTTCCCATCCAGCTCCCTGCCTGTGGCCCAGGAAAGCAGTTGAGGATGGCCCAAAGCTTTGGGACTCTGCACCCGCGTGGGAAACCTGGAAGAGGCTCCTGGCTTTGGATCGGCATAGCATCGACCATTGCGCTCACTTGGGGAGTGAATCATCGGATGGAAGATCTTCCCCTCTGTCTCTCCTTTCTGTATATCCGCCTTTCCAATAAAAAAAATAATTTAAAAAAAGAAAGAAAGAAAAGAAAGGTAGATTTGCAGAGAGAAGAGACAGAGAGGAAGATCTTCCACCCACTGGTTCACTCCCCAAGAGTCAGAGCTGAGCCAATCTAAACCCAGGAGTCAGGAGCCTCTTCCAGGTCTCCCACTTGGGTGTAGAGTCCCAAGGACTTGGGCCATCTTCCATTGTTTTCCCAGGCCATAGGCAGGGAGTCAGATCAGTAGTGGAGCAGCCAGAACATGAACTGGTGCCTATATGGGATGCCAGCACTTGCAGGCAGAAGATTAACCAGTGGAGCCATCGCACCAGCCACTAGTTTCTTATATGGGGATATTTTAGAATAACTTCTTCTTCCAGGACAGGTGGAAGAACTCAAAAGAATAAACAGCGCGAATTTACAGGGATTAAAAAAAATCAGATCTGTCATGTAAAATGATGGTGACACGAAGGACACTTACAAAAACTGGCCTCCCTGGGAGAAGCCCATGGCATTGTATCCTTTCTGCAACTTGGGATCCTTGGCGAGAATCTGACACGCTGTTGCAACTTGGGAGTTGACATTCAAGAAGAAGCTGTTCTCCATGTCCTAAAAAAAATACAAAAAGCCAAAGAGAAGGAAAAGGAAGGAACTGAAGATCACCAGCAGCATCTTCTTGAAAGGTGAACCTGCTTCAGTGGTTACCGTGGTTACCTCACATAAGCCATCAGACACAAGTGAAGGTATCCCTTCATGACTTGCTACTGAAAGCATACTGTGAAGCATTCCCTTGTTCTACTTTAAAAAGCGTTTCTTTTCAATTGCTTGAAAAGCTAAGTGAGAGAGAGACACACACACACGGAGATATTCTAACCACCACTTCACTACCCCAAATGCCCCACAACAGTCATGGCTGGGCCAGGCTGAAGATGGAATCTAGGAACTCCTTCTGGGTTTCTAAGGTGGCTGGCAGAAGCCGAGGTGCGTGAGCCATCACCTGATGCCTCCTAGGCACATCAGCAGGGAGCTGGACCTCTGACAGACTTGGATCTCAAACCAGTCACTCAGATATGTGCATCCCACATATTGACTTGACCCAACCTGATGCAGCCCCATCCCAAGCATTCCAATAGTACAAAAATCAGTCAGCAAACCTCCTAAGGAAGAGATCTGCAAAGGGCCTTACCTCTAGCAGTGTCTTCCCAATCTCTAAGGATAAGACATAAATTCCAGGTATTTTCTTCTCAACCATTTTCTTAATAGCACCCATGCTTAAAGGATTACAACAGCTGTCTCCTGCCCAACAAAAACAAGGATGAAAAGTAATGAATTCAAACCGTTTGATTTATTTGTTAAAACTTTTTTTAAAAGATTGATTTTATTTTTATTGGAAAGGCGGATATACAGAGAGCAGAGATAGAGAGGAAGATCTTCCGTCCGATGATTCACTCCCCAAGTGACCACAACGGCAGATGATATGCCGATCCAAAGCCAGGAGCCTCTTCTGGTTCTCCCACGCGGGTGCAGGGTCCCAAAGCCTTGGGCCCTCCTCGACTGCTTTCCCAGGCCACAGGCAGAGAGCTGGATGGGAAGTGGGGCTGCCAGGATTAGAACCGGCGCCCATATGGGATCCCGGGGTGTGCAAGGCGAGGACCTTAACCACTGCGCCACCGTGCCGGGCCCTATTTGTTAAAACTTTTGTGCCTCTAGGAATCATCAAGAGAAAATACTGGCAAGATATAGGACTAGTATGAATTTAATAGTTAACATATATAAATAATACTTACAACTCAACAAGACAAACAACCTCAGTAAGAAAGGAGAAAAGGGGCCTGGGGCGATAGCATGGCAGTTAAAGTTCTCACCTTGAACATGCCGGGATCCCATATGGGTGCTGGTTTTAATCCCAGCAGCTCCACTTCCCATCCAGCTCCCTGCCTGTGGCCTGGGAAAGCAGTCGAGGACAGCCCAATGCTTTGGGATCCTGCACCCATGTTGGAGACCGGAAGGAAATTCCTGGATCCTGGCTCTGGATCGGCACAGCACTGGCCTTGTGCTCACTTGGGGAGTGAATCGTCGGACAGAAGATCTTCCTCTCTGTCTCTCCTCCTCTCTGTATATCTGACTTTCCAATAAAAATAAATAAATATTTTTTTTAAATGAGAAAATGGCTTGAAGAAGATTATCCAAATGTCCAGCAACAATTATCACTGGTTGTTAAGGAAATAATACACACCCACTTGGATGGTTCTAATAATAACCTTTTTTTAAAAAGTACTGGCAAGCATGAGAGAAACAAACTCCATACATTGTTGATGGCGATAGAATATATACAGTCCCCAGGAAAAACAGCTTGACAGTTCCTCAAAAAAAGTGCCCAATAACCACAGAACCCTCCAGTTCCGCCAGTGGGCATATGCCTAAGAGAAATTATATGCCTCCATTCAGAAACCTGTATGTTTACTGCTGTATTACCAGCAGTGGCCAAAAGGGGGCAAAAACACAAGTGACCGCCACAAGATGAAGGGCTACACAAATTGTGGACTATGCATACTTCGCAGCATCTCCCATCCATCAAAAGGAACACACTACTGACCATGTCTCTACTTGGATGCACCCAGAAAAGGCTATGCTAAGTGAAATAAATGGGACACAAGTGGTACAGATTCCTCTGGGATGAGGTATCCAGAAAGGGCAAATCACAGAGAAAGAAAATAGGTTGGAAGTTACCAGGGAGTACCACGATGAGAGCGGCAAGCACATCATGTGAGGGCTTACGGGTATGGTTGTTTTTCTGGGTGTTGCAAAGTTTTGAAATAGAGGGAAGTAATGGTTGTCCAATGTGGTGAATACATTACATTGTCACTTTATGACGGGTTAACTAACTGTATGTGATAGAAACCGCAAGAAAGAAAAAGAAAAAAAAATCTGAACATTTTTGCTTAGCTCCTAGTTCATCAAATAATAGCAAGCTTCAAAAATCCATGACACGCTGGAGCACTAAAATGACAGCTGAGAAGCAAGCAGAGACTCACCGTCTCCTTACTCAGAACATCAGACCAGGTGTAGGGTAAGGCAAGTGAAGCGCCTAGGGCACAAAATGTCACTCACTGCCAAGTCTATGCAAGCACTGACTCTGAACTTGTACAAACTTGACAGCTAATCCAGAAAACAAAACTAAGAATGAGAAGCAAAGCCACTGGCCTCTGCGTGGGAGAAGCAGCGACGACTTCCAGTTTTCAACATAATCCCATTTTCAATTTGAGACCCAGCTCAGGGGCCAGTTTTTCAAAGGAAAGCTGTGGTCTAGAAAAATCTTCCATTTCTCAGGTAACAAGCTTAACCCCGGGAACTGTAATTGCTGGTTACTTAGCTCCCCGACTCCACCCCAGGCCTGGGCTCTGCGTGCTCTCTAATAACCACAGCCTGCACAAAGCCCCAAAGACTTCTGACACTGCTGACGCTCCCTCTTCTCAGAACATTCTCTTTCAGCCATTCTAATGAAGTACCCACTCTCACCACTCCTCAAACTTGCTTGTGCTAAGATCATTCATGGTCTTCACATTGCTCAACCCAAACATTAATCCTTAGCTCCACCCTGCTTATCAACTCGGAAGCACTGGATCACTCCCTGCCTCTTCAAACATTCTCTCTGCTGGGTTTCCACAACACGTGACTCTCTTGCCTTCCCCCCCATCCCACGTATTGTTTTCTCACTGTCTGCTTCACAGACACCTCCACCTCAGCTTGGCAGTCTCAGGGTTCAGCACTCCATGTACATTAACTCCCACCTAGGCAGGATCAAGGCTGTATAAACACTAAAGTCATCCACCTTAAATCTCTAGCCTGGATTTCTTTTTTTTTTTTAAGATTTATTTATTTTTATTACGAAGTCAGATATACAGAGAGGAGGAGGGACAAAGAGGAAGATCTTCCATCCGATGACTCACTCCCCAAGTGACCACAACGGCCGGTGCTATGCTGATCCGAAACCAGGAGCCAGGAGCTTCTTCCAGGTCTCCCACGCGAGTGCAGGGTTTCAAAGCTTTGGGCCATCCTCTGCTGCTTTCCCAGGCCACAAGCAAGGAGCTGGATGGAAAGTAAAGCTGAAGGGATTAGAACCGGGATTCCAGTTCTAATGTGGGATCCCAGCACATTCAAGGCGAGTACTTGAGCCACTAGGCCATGCTGCTGGGCCCTCTAGCCTGGATTTTTGTCTTGGAGCCCACCCGAACACTTCTATAGCACCTCCTGGGTATCTAACAAGGATCTCAAATGGTTAAGCCCAAAGCTGACTCTGATCTTCCTCCCATCCCCAGGGCAGCTCCCTGGACAGGCTTCCCTTAATCCTGCTGATTGTTTAAGACCTGTGCAGTCCTTTCTCTCTCAACCTAGAGATTCTAGCTTAAAAGTACATACAGGGCCTGGCGGCATGGCCTAGCAGCTAAAATCCTTGCCTTGAACACACAGGGATCCCATATGGCTGCTGGTTCTAATCCCAGCAGTTTCACTTCCCATCCAGCTCCCTGCTTGTGGCCTAGGAAAGCAGTCGAGGACGTCCCAATGGGTTGGGACCCTGCACCCGCGTGGGAGACCCAGAAGAGGTTCTTGGTTCCCGGCTTCAGATCAGTGCAGTACTGGCCGTAGCGCTCACTTGGGGAGTGAATCATAGGATGGAAGATCTTCCTCTCTGTATATCTGACTTTGCAATAAAAATAAATAAATCTTTTTAAAAAAAGTATATTCAAACTTGGACTATTTCTCAATGCCTCTACTGTTACTGTACAGTTCCAAGTCATCACCATTGCTGTTTTCATTACAGGAATGCTTCCTAGCTGGTTTCTTTAACTGCCCAAACCCCCTACAATCTACTACTCTCAATAAAGCAACTAGAGCAATCAATTCAACATAAACCACATCACTCAACTACTCAAAAAGTTTCCCATCTCATTTTAAGTCTAAGCTTAAATCTGTTCATGTCAGCACACCCAACAATATCTAACCTCACATCCTTCCCTAGCCTAAATCTCTACTTTTGTGCTTGCTCACTCAGTTCTAGACAAACTGATCCAAATGTTATTCCTTGAATACACCAGACACACAAGTATTCACAAAGTTCTTGGAAATCAGTATTATAAACACAATACAAGGATTCCTTTTTTTTTTTTGCACCAAAAGAAATGCATGATTTAATTCTACTTTTTACAAACTTTCTAAAGAACCCACATACTTGTGCCTCACAGTCCCTCCTCAATCACCCAATGGCTTTCTTGCCCACATCGCCTACGGGTTTTGATTGACCTGTCACTTTCTCAGCCCTGACCTCTACTCTCTATCCTTCTTGTTTTTTTCTCCACTGCACCAGCACCATCTGACAGACTATATCAGTTGCTTATTTATTCTTGCAGAGTTGGTCTCTCCCATGGGAAAACAAGTTGTAAAAGAACCGATTCTGCTTAGTTCACTGCTATATCCTCAGCACCTGCTAGATGTTAAGTGGGTCAGGTGGGCTCAGCCCAGCTATCCTGACTCCATGGCAAACGCTGCACCCAGACGCCACTGCAGCCAGGAGTCAACAAACCAGTGCACAGCCCGAGGAGAGCTCACCGAACACAGCTCCTTCCCTTTTCCCTTAGAACTTTGCACCAGCCGGTTGCGGTACGCACCCTCCGCACCCGCAGCCGGCAGACGCGAGCCCCAACTGGAAGAGTCGCTACATCCTCCCGACCTTCCTCTCGTGCTCACCCATCCCGTGCCAGATCACCAGCGGCAGCGGCGCCGAAGGGGCGACATGCCCAAGCGCCCAGGCGGCGCAAGACCAGGGCAGGAAAGTCACAGCCAGCAGCCACAAGCAGCTGGGCGACGCCATCTTGGCTTGGTCACATGACCGCGGCGCGCGACTCAGCGGACCCGCGCTCCCGGCGCGTGGGCACACCCCCCCCCCCCACACACACACACCCACACACAAGTACACACCCACGCGTCTGACTGGGCTACCTGGAGGATAGATGCCCGCCCCCGGGCGCCGGTCGAGTCAAGTAGCTGCCCGCTGGGCAGGATTAACATGTTTGCTAACATTTGTCGTGCACTTGGGCACAAGTCTGGCTCCGGTCCAAGCCCTCTTCGGCGCGCAAGGACTTAGGCCTCTTAACAGCTTTGTGCTTGCTGCGCCCTGCCTTCCAAGGACCCTGAGGCTTGAGAATTGGGGCCAGGAGCCTAGGGGTGGGACGTTGCCGCTTCGCCTCACCGTGGTGCACTGTCTGGGGCAGTAGCAAGCCCTCGGCTCTCTTACAACGCCCGGGAGAGCTCGCTCCCAACCTGGGCTGATCATGGCGGGTTGTGGCGTTTGTCTCGGATCCTAAAGATGGAATGTTATCAGGCAAACTTGAAATTCGATAGGACTGAGTGAGCTAAGGAATTCAGGAGAGAGAGCCCGGCAATTTTTCTGGAGGTGTCAGGGAGCAGGCTGACTGACAACAGCATCTGCTGGCTGTGGATGAGAGGGGAACTCACCGGCACTTCCTGCTGTGGATTATCACTGCTTCTTCTGTTGTGCCGGCTTTTGAGATACCCAGAAAATCATGGAGTCTGAAGTCGATGCTAACGCATAAAGGCAGTTTATTCAGGTTAACCTGGGTCTCCCAGCCACCCTCCCCAGCCAAGTAGGGCTTGGGGGAGGGGAGCAGGGACAGCTGCAGCTGAGGCTGCAGCAGGAACAGAAGCTCAGAAAAAAAGCAAGGTTGAACAGCACAGGGTTCTTATACATTTCAGGCCAATTCTATATAATTATACAGTCATGATTGGTCAGTTTAACCGTTAACTTTCAAAAAGAACAAGTTAGCAGGCTTCTATTACTGGTGGGGTTGAAGCAAGCAATTTTCTTTCTTTTTTTAAGATTTATTTATTTTCATTACAAAATCAGATATACAGAGAGGAGGAGAGACAGAGAGGAAGATCTTCCATCTGATGATTCACTCCCCAAGTGACCGCAAAGGCCAGTGTTGTGCCGATTCGAAGCCAGGAGCCAGGAACTTCTTCCAGGTCTCCCACACTGGTGCAGGATCCCAACCCATTGGGCTGTCCTAGATTGCTTTCCCAGGCCACAAGTAGGGAGCTGGATGGGAAGTGGAGCTGCCGAGAATAGAGCCGGCGCCCATATAGGATCCCGGCATTCAGGCGAGGACTTTAGCCACTAGGTCATGCTGCTGGGCCCTAAGCAAGCAATTTTTAAAAAGTACAAACTGGGCCCGGCGCGGTGGCGCAGGGGTTAAGTTCCTCACCTTGCACTCCCCGGGGTTCCCATATGGGCGCAGGTTCTATCCCGGCAGCCCCACTTCCCATCCAGCTCCCTGCCTGTGGCCCAGGAAAGCAGTCCAGGACGGCCCAAGGCTTTGGGACCCTGCACCCGCGTGGGAGACCCGGAAAAGGCTCCTGGCTTTGGATTGGCATAGCATCGGCCGTTGTGCTCACTTGGGGAGTGAATCATCGGATGGAAGATCTTCCTCTCTGTCTCTCCTCTCTGTATATCTGCCTTTCCAATAAAAAATAATAAAAACAAATCTTTTTAAAAAAAAGTACAAACTGATGAGCTATAGGACAGTGGGCCTCATCTAACACCAGGTAAATCCTTCCTGAGGAGTGCTCATTTACTTTCATCATCTCGCTTCCTGCTCCCATTTTTAAAGAAAACATCGAAAATAGAATGAATAGGGCCAGACGCGGTAGCCTAGCGGCCAAAGTCCTTGCCTTGAACTCGCAGGGATCCCAGGGATCCCATATGGGCACCGGTTCTAATCCTAGCAGCCCCGCTTCCCATCCAGCTCCCTGCCTGTGGCCTGGGAAAGCAGTCAAGGACAGCCTGAAGCCTTGGAATCCTACACCTAAAGGGAGACCTAAAGTTCCTGGCTTCAGATTGGCCCAGCACTGGCCGTTGTGGTCACTTGGGGAGTGAATTATCAGACGCAAAATCTTTCTCACTGTCTCTCCTCCTCTCTGTATATCTGACTTTGCAATAAATCTTAAAAATAAAGAATGAATAGAGGCTAATTTTATACAGGATGGGATAGGCAAATAGTGACATGAAAAAGTGACTCCAACACACATGTCAGTGATTAGCTGCTTTAGTGGTCAGTGAAAATGGTGAATCATGAAGCCTTACACGCTGTCCAGATTTGCATTTTAAGAAGTCTATTGTGAATTTCCACTTCAGACATACACGTGTGAATTCTTTCACCAGTCTTCTGCAGGAGGTTCTTTTTGGTTATGGAGACTCTAACTGAAGTCTCTTGATGTGTGTGTCTTATCTTTAATGAATCATCTGTGATTCCCTTAAAATGGAGCGCTGACAGAAACGTGAAGCAGTTGAATGCAAAACTCTTCCAGTCGGATATGCTGCGTCCTTTCAGAGACTTCTCCCTCAGACCTAATTTACCTTTTTAGAGGGTAGCTGGGATAGCATGGCAGGTTTATTTGCAATTCTTCAAGAACTCTCCATACAGATTTCCAGTGTTTGTACTAGCCTACACTCCCACCAGCAGTGAAGGACTACACCATTGTAGCAACGTGGGAAAACCTGTCAATGGATGAGAGTTTGGGTGGGTGGGGAGGGAATCCCAATCTCTACGAAATTGTATCATAAAATTGAAAAATTCAAAACAAAAGTTATCAAAAAAATTTAAAACTCTTTTTTAAAGACATATTTATTTTATTTCATTTTTAAAAGCAGGGAAAGAGAGAGAGATTGAGCATCCATCCACTGGTTCACTCTCCAACATAGTTAAAAGTAGCAGAGTCTGGGACAGGCTGAAACCAGGAGCCTAGAACTCTATCTGGGTTTCCCACATGGGTGACAAGGATCCAAGTACTTAAGCCATCTTCTGCTGCTTTCCTGGCAGCACTAGCTGGGAACTGGACTCAAAGAAGTGCAACAAGGGATCGAATGTGAGATGCTGCCAGCATCCCGATGCACCACATTACCAGCCCAAAATCAGACTTTTTTATTGTTGTTGTTAACTCAGGACAACATAGCGCCCAAAGCACTTTTCATAAACTCATTTATGTTTTCAGAAATAAAAACTCATATAAAGGATAAATCCTAAAGTTCAGTTTTTCTTTTTTTTTTTTTTAAGATTTATTTTTTTTTTTTTTTGGAAAGTCAGATATACAGAGAGGAAGATCTTCCATCTGATGATTCACTCCCCAAGTGAGCACAACAGCCGATGATATGCCGATCAGAAGCCAGGATCCAGGAACCTCTTCCAGGTATCCCACCTGGGTTCAGGGTCCCAGAGCTTTGGGCCGTCCTCCACTGCTTTCCCAGGCCACAAGCAGGGAGCTGAATGGGAAGTGGAGCTGCCGGGATTAGAACCAGCAGCCATATGGGATCCCTGCGTGTTCAAGGCGAGGACTTTGGCCACTAGGCCATGCCACCGGGCCCGAAGTCCAGCTTTTCTACTAATTCAAATAAACTTGTATTTTATACATTTTTAATTGTAAAAAATATATACTGTGGGGCCCAGCGCGATGGCGCAGTGGTTAAGGTCCTCGCCTTGCACACCCCGGGATCCCATATGGGCGCCGGTTCTATCCCGGCAGCCCCACTTCCCTTCCAGCTCCATGCTTGTGGCCCGGGAAAGCAGTTGAGGACGGCCCAGAGCTTTGGGATCCTGCACCCACGTGGGAGACCCGGAAGAGGCTCCTGGCTTCGGACCGGCATAGTATCGGCCGTTGCGTTCACTTGGGGAGTGAATCATCGGATGGAAGATCTTCCTCTCTGTCTCTTTTCCTCTCTGTATATCCGCCTTTCCAATAAAAAAAATAATAATAAAAATAATAAATCTTTAAAAAATATGTATATATATACTGTGATAGCATTTTTAAAAATACATCTGAAGGCTGGTGTGTTGGCCTCAGGATTTAGCCAATCCTCCGCCTCCAAGCAGCAGCATCCTATGTGGAAGCCAGTTCATGTCCCAGCTGCTCCACTTTCCATCCAGCTCCCTGCTTGTGACCTGGGAAGACAATGAGGGATTGCCCAAAGCTTTGGGATCCTGTATTTGCGGTGGGAGCCTGGAGGAAGCTCCTAGCTCCTGGTTTCAAGTGGGCTGTTTGTGTTGCAGCCACTGGAGTAAACCAGTAGATAGATTTTTCTCTCTAATTCCCACATTTACATAATTGAAAATCCCTTTTTCAGTTTCTTTTGTCCAAATCACTTTGCCATCTGAGACTTGCCATCCTTGGTCTACTAAGCAAATGTAGCACATTCCACGTAGTTCAGCCCATGGCCCATCTCTACTGTGACCTCCCAAAAGCCCACACAGTGTTTCATCAAATAATTAAAATTGTCCATATAGAAAGTGCCAATAGGTTCTGCCTTTCTCTGGATTTGATTTCAACAGGAACCATTTAGTGGGAGACAAACCAAATTCTCTAAAGTTCCGCCAGTCTCAGAGTGTTGTTTTATAAGCCTGTGATGCTTATGAAGCTAATAATAGGAAGTGAGAACTTGCCAAGCCTGAATTTCAATGTAACTTCAAAGAGGACTGAAAACTAATAAGGTACCTATCAGTTCCCTGAATAGGCTGTAATTCCAGCAACAATGGGAACAGAGAGAATTCTCAGAATATGCTCAGGTTTCAGTTTTCTTGTTGCAAGGGAGAAATGAAAGCATTTCTGTTAGATGAAAAAAATTATAATAAAGTTTTTTGCTGTTAAAAACACATTTAAAAAATTATTTTAGATGATGTTTACATAGTTGATCAGGGTGGGAAGGATCTAGAGTTAAGGAGAAGTGGGTATGATCATTGTTTCCAAGCTTTCTATTTCTTCTTCCCATTCCTGGGGAGGGGAGAAATAAGGGAATAGGCCACACCCAGCCTCCCAACCATC